ATGAGGTTGAGAAACACTGCATTATACATTGGCTTGGATTAGTTGGTTATTAGTTCTGTATCATTCTGCATGGCTGGCTGGGGCATTCTGGGAGTTGAAGTCCACAGATCTTAAAGCCGACAAGGTTGGAGACCCCTGTGGTAGAGTTAATCCAACCGTTAAGTTTCCCTTTAAGATTCCGGGCTGCATTTTAGTAGCACAAACTCAGCTTCCCGTCCCGATGCTTACCCGAGCTCTCCTCTTCGGATTCCGACTGGCTTGCGCTGCGTTCATCTTCGCTCTCTTCCTCACCGTTCATTTCCATGGCTGAATCGCCTTCCCCTTCCATCTCCTTCGGCAGAGGCTGAACAGGCATGGTGGCGTTGGACGATGTCAAGAGACGACCAACCTGAAGATGGACAGAAAAAGATCCAACTGTTAAAGAGCGAACAAAGCCTGGATGCTAATTTTGGAATACAGGAAAGGCCTCAACCTACAATTGAGCCCCAGAAGTGATGTCGTTAAAAGAGAAACTTCTCACGTTGAGTTTGCCCCATTTTGCCAACTTTCCTTGTCACGTTTGTTAAGCGAACCACGGCAGCTGTTCAATTAGGAACACCGTTGTTAAGTGAATCTGGCTTTCCCTGCTGACTTAGCTTGTCAAAAGGTCGCAAAAGCGGATTGCATGACCCCCGGGGAACACTGCAACTGTCATAAATGTGAGTCGGTTGTCAAGCATCCGAATGTAAATTAAGCATCCCTGGGGATGCTACAAATAGTCTTAAGTGTGAAAAATGGTCAGTTTGCAGTGCTGTTGTAAGTTCAGTCACTACTGTTGTAAATTGAGGCCTATCTGTAATTTCTGATTCATTTAATAACCAGGTCAAAGAAGGTCTTAAAGTGAGGCAAAATTCACTTAATTATCTCACTTAGCGACATAAATTTTGGGCTCAATTATGGTGGTAAGTCAAGGGGCTGCTTGTATATATTTAATCTCTCAGCAGCAGAGAGCTGCTGAGAGATTAAATTTATTTTTTATTTATAAATTTATTTATTTATTTATAAATTTATTTATTTATTTATAAATTTATTTATATAAATTTATTTTTTATTTATAAATTTATTTATTTATTTTTGGAACACTCAGTTCAATTCTGACCCAGCGGGCTAAAGCAATGCACCGAAATAAATGGGTGTGCAAAGCTGCGCACCATGCAGGTTTTTTCTCTTTTCTGTGCAAAAGAACACGATGCAAGTCTTCCTTCAGTTTGGTTGAACAAGGCTCTGCTTTCCACTTTCGCTTCTGAGAATGTCACACAATTCTTTCAAAAGCAGAGTGTGGCGTTTTTGCACTCTTTTAGTTGTACCCCAGCGAAAAGACTGTACTTTCTTTTACTATTCAGTATCTGATGTTTCTCTACTTCCATTAAACACCAGATTATCCAGTGGGTAACCTGGCGAGGGGAAGGGGGTTCAGCAGCCAGTTGAATGAATGCATAGGCAGCCCATAATGGAGTCCAAAGTCTTCATCGCTAAGCCAGACAGTCGTGAAGTAGCTTTTGCCCATTTTACAACTTTTGTTGCCACAGTTGTTGCCACAGCAAATCACTAGAGCTGTTCAATTAGTAACACAGTTAAGTGAATCTGGCTTCCCCATTGGCTTTGCTTGTTGAAAGACTGCAAAAGGGGCTTATATGACCCCAGGACACTATGACCATCTTAAATAGGAATCAGTTGCCAATTTTGATCACGTGATCATGTTGCAACGGCCATTAAGTGTGAAAAACACTCACAATTTGCTTTTTTCCATTGTAATTTCAAACAGTCACTTAAACAATGGTTGTTACGTCAAGGTTGCAGTCATTACACCACTGAGAATTTTTGGGGGCTCCCCATAAGGACGGTCATTTGGGGCTAAGAAAAGGGCCTTTATAAAGCTTACATGTCCCCAGTGTGGTATCCTATACATGCATGAGCTACAACTCCCATCATGCCCAACCTTGCTGATGGGAATTGTATTCCCACCTATTTGGAAAGACTCAGACTATCCCAGGCTTTCTGGCTTGTTCATGAGTCTTCAGGCCTCACTGACCATCACTTGTTCCCTAAGAAAAAATAAAAAATATTCATTTGTAGGAGAACATTGTGGGAAATAATATTGGCCAAATGGTATTTTAAAATAGCTGGCTTACTGCTGCAGGTTTTAAGCTACCCCCTGATGCTTTTCAACTGTCCTCCTTGACCACTTTTTAAAAATGGAATTTACTATTGTTGGGAACTGCTAAGAAAACCAGGTAGAAAACACAAGATACTATAAATGTTTATGAATAAAACATCACTATTGCATCCTCCATCCTCCCCCCTCCATAATGCAATGGACTAAACCACCTTCCCCTATTAATATGATGGGGGAAGGGATTACCAATTCCTTGAGGGGGGGGGGGGAGAAGAAAAAAAAAGGAAAAGTCAGAAATACGTTGAGGAACTTCCTCTCACTACGATACGCCTTCAACGGGGAACGCAACGAGCAGAAGCCAATCCTACGTACACGCGCATGTACGTTCATAGAAAAGCACAGACACGCAAATGTGTATCTCCCCCAACCCGGTTAGTGGTCTAATCCACAGTTACCCCGCCGCTCGCCCAAATGCGTGATTGGAATGGGCGGGACCAACAAACACCCAGAAAAAGGGGGGTGCTGGGAAAAGCGTCTGGACCCCCTTCATTACCTGGGGGAGGAGCCGCGCAAAGCGTAGATGCCACTCGGGCTTCCTTCCTCAATCGGAAGTGGTCCTCGGTCGGCCCCGCCCACTGCTCTTAACCAATCCGAGAGACTGATAATGCCGGCCGTTGGAAGCAGCTACACGTCTATGATCCTAGAACTTTCCAGCCGCCTCTCTGTGGTTTTTTGGGGGGAGGAGGGGGCTGCATCGCATTGTGGGAAGCCGGAAGCGGAAAGAAGCGTTCCCATAGCAACCGATAGAATAGAACCCAGTGAGCAGGAGGAAGAAAAATAAATAGGAAAAATGAAAAAAATGAAAAAAATGAAAAATTAAACAGAAAAAGTGTCTTCCCTCTTCCCAAACTTTAATATATGAGCCTTTTTGGAAAAGGGTGAACTCTCAAATATCAATGCAGTATTGTAATGGCTACAGAGGCTATCCCATTTTTTATCCCCAAACAACAGGTGCATAAACCTTGATGCTATGCATGAGGTGGCTGGAGAAAGAAGTCTAATAATAAAAGTAACCTTAACTGTCAAAAGAAAGAAAAGATACTATCATAAGTAATAGGTGACTTGGTGCAATCTCAAAACAACTGGAGCATCATTTGAACACTGTCGGCATTGACAAATTCATGATCACTCAATTGCAAAAGGCAGCTTTACTCAGAACAGCTTACATTCTTTAATATTATTAAACAACAATATCTGCCTATTCCAGTCTTTGGGAAAGACTGAATAGATAGATAAAAATGCCAAATCCAGTCTAAATAGCTGGCTGACTATGCAATGAATTGATAAGAAACATTAAAAAAAGTCTGGATGAACACTGCAGTATCTGGAGAAAGCAGAAAAGAACTGAAGATATTCAATAAACAAAGACCTGCAAATAGAAGTAGAATGACTGTGGCAAAAGAAAACAAAGATTGGACCAGTATCTCAAAATATTTGGAGTACCATCTGATCATCAGCACTGACAAAATCCCCATCAATCAATTGTGCAAAATGCAGCCTTACTTGGAAAAGCTTACATCCTTTGATAATACCTTTAACACCCTCGCACATCCACATTTGCTTATCTTGTGTCTTTGGGAAGGACTTGATGTCAAAATGTCAAATCCAATCTAAACATCTGGCTGACTGTGCAACAACCATTACAGTGCACAAGCTGATCACACAAAAAAAGGACATAACACAGTTCCAAAATCATTCACTGCAACATTTCTAAATAGGGATTGGTAGCAAACGAACAGGACCAAAGCAACCCAAATTTGAAATTATTCACTTTAATTAACAGGTGGTTTGTTATTTTAAGGTACAGGAATAAATTAAGCATTTCTCTTCCAGGACCTATGCAATCCTTTCTCATTGTGAAGAACAAGACACTGAGGTGACCAGTTGTAGACGCAAGGTCAGGCACAATACGGAAGAATCTTGCTGCACAATGGTCTACTAGTTCATGTCTCACAGTCCAAATGTTCAAAAGTTCTTTTCCATGTTCTCACAGCATCATTTCATAATCTTGGATCTTATTCTGTCAGCCTGTAGTACAAAATGACAGAAACTGACTAATGCAGTACAGCAATGACACAAACTGTCTTTGGTAAACAAAAAAATGACCCACAGTCGTTCGTACAATTATACTGCAAATAGAGTTTCTTCTCATTCTATTTGTAGCTCCACTCCAAATCCAAAGGAGCTTTAAGAATTTAAGCTCTGCAAAGTTAAAGTGCATTTCAACATCTCCGTGGCGAGTCTGGATATTTGCTCTTCAGCTCCTGCTTGAATTGTCGGAAAAGGATCTTGTTGCGCTGGTTTTCAGCATCCTTTTGTGCGTGGAACTCACTTGCCACCTTGAATCCCTTGTGAACCAAAAAGGCATTGCTCAATATTGCAAACCGGTAGCCAGCAATGTGGAGTTCGCAGGCCTGCAAGGAAAAAAGAAGAAAAAAAGAACGTGTGTGTCACCAGTATCACTAGAGTCACCTTGTAAGGGAAATAGGCGGCATAAAAACAGATATAGATAGATGACTGATAGCGGTAGATGATAGATTAGATCTGATTAGATTAGATTAATAGATAGATTAGATAGATAGATAGATAGATAGATAGATAGATAGATAGATAGATAGATAGATAGATAGATAGATAGAGATGAGAGAGATGGATGGATGAATAATGATAGATATGAGATGGATAGATGGATAATGATAGAGGGGGGATGGAGATGGATGGATGATAGATGAGAGAGAGCGACGGATGGATGGATGGAGGACATAGTTGATAGACAAATCATAGCTTTATTTATTTATTTATATGGTGGGGAGGGATGGATATAAATGATAGACAGACAGACAGACAGAGATAGAGGATAGGCCTTAAACACCAAACCAGTAACAATAACCATAGGATTTTGCCATTTTCCTAATCTTTCCCCTTGCTTGGTTACCTGACTGATCCGGTTAAAGCCATACTGCTTGAAGCGTTCATCATATGGAGGCACTGAGGCAGCACCCACATAGAAGGGCTCCCATGGGTCTCGCCACACCACCTCGTAGGCCACGTGCAGGGTGCCCCGTGTGGGAAGGTTCAGCCAGTGGGAAAAGTTTGTGGGAGCCTGGCACCGGGGGCATAACTCCTCGTAAAACGGTCGGATCTCCCCCACTTGATACAGCTGGACCAGCTCTGCTTTGGTGGCCGGAATCCGGCGCGTGTGACGGATCTCAAAGGCCGGCACCACGAACACCCATGGCGTCCCCTCTTCGGCGGCTTTAGGCAAGGCCAGGAAGTCTTTTCGCAGACCCTTGCTGGGCACCATATCCACGTCGACCACCAGCACCCAGTGACTGCTGGCTGCCTCTCTAGCTACGTTCCGCAGCAGGTTGTTGGGGTACGACGTGTTGGTGACCCCCATGACATAGTTACGCCGGCCGGCCCCTAGCTGTGCCAGCTTGGCAAAGACATCTCCGCAGGACTGGAGGCGGGCAAATTCCCCTTCCTCCTGCTCCTGCTCCGGGAAGGAAGCCATTTCGTTGGCAGGACACACCAGGTGCAGCCGAAGCCACTGCCGGAGAGGGGCACACAGGACGGCTAAGGCGTAGACCATGGCTGTGGCCTGGCTCACATCGTCAGAGCCCGGTGCAAAGAGGGCCACCGAGACCGGTCCCTGCCAGCGCTCCACCAGCTGCTGCACATGGTGCAGATTGCCCAAGCTGGTGTGGGTGACCAGGACCACATCCTGGCCATCCCAAGAGGCCCGCATCATGTCCCGGTAGATGCGGTACTGCCCGCTGGCATCCAGGGTGCCTCCACTGGCCAACACCGGCTTGAGCCTCTGTTTGTGCCCGTGGCTCGGCAAGGCATGGCGTGCCTGGAAAAGCTGGGCGTAGCGAGACCGCTGCTCCTGCCCGTGCCACCCGGAGAGCAGTGCCAAATAAAGCAGTTGCAAGCTGGCCACCAGTCCCAGCGCCAGGATGAGCGCCTGGAAGCAGGAGCAGGTCATGGGCGGGACCGAAAAGGGGAGCCGGACTGGGGCTCAAGCTTGGCCCGTCGGCTCTCCCCGTGGCGCCCTTTCCCTCTGTTGCAAAACGCCGCGCGAGCAAAACGCTGCAAAAGCTCCCCAAAGTGCCAACCTGCAAATAGAAAGTGGAGGAGGGGGGGAAGGCGAAAGGGAAGGGGGGGCTTGCTCGCCAGGAGGCTCCCTCCAGCGCCCCCTGCTCAGCAGGAGGAGGCAGTGCAAACATAAAAAGCAGCCTCTGCAGCCCCCACCCCTAAAAAAAACGAACCCCGTCGCCCCCGTTTGCTTTTGCAGCGCCCGCCGGCTCGCCGCTGCCTTGGGCCCGATTACCCGCCCGCTTTGCCTCGTGTGCCTTTTGCATGCGCGGGAGGGAGTGGGTGGGCTTTGCTGACCTCCCCCCACCTCCAGGGTTATTTGCATTGGGGAGGGGAGGCCAGAGAGAGTTTGCAACGGGAGGATTGCAAGGATCAGAAGGGTGGTGGTGGTAGGAATAAGGGGGCGCGAAAACAGGAACATCCCCCCACACCTTCGATTGTTTTTCTTTGCAAAAAGGCGTTTCTTAATCCCGGTTTGCAAAGCAAGCAAGCAAGCATAGACCAGGTGGTGAACAAGCTCTCTTCCGTGAGACGAGGTGGCCGAGTGGTTAAGGCGATGGACTGCTAATCCATTGTGCTCTGCACGCGTGGGTTCGAATCCCACCCTCGTCGCTACCGTTTTGGACGCCCGTCCTCCCTCCCAAAATTAAGTGACTTTATATTCTGTTGTGCAACCTACAGGAAAAGGAGGTTTAAAACGGAGAACGCGGAGGGAGGAAGATCCCCTTCCATCCTTTGCAAGGGTCCTTCTCTGGGGACATCTTGTCTCTTTTGGGGTGCATTCCCGGCTCCACAACAAAATTGATGGGAGCAGAAGACTTCCTGCATTTTAAGAGGGGCTCTGAATTGCAGGTGTAATTCAGCTGGTGTGCTGACATTTGCAAAACCCTTCATGCCCGACAGGAAGCGGAGCCCTTTGCCAAGGAGCAAGCGCCAGACGTGGAAAGCCGAGGTGGGAGGGGGTCTCGGCTGCTGCAGGACAAACATCCCCCCCTCCCCGATCCATGCAGTAAATATATTTGTTGGGAAATCAAGCAAAATGTGTTTTTTGGTTCTGCAAATTCTCCTAGCCCAACTTCCAGTTTCCCGGATTACATAAACCCCAAATACAGGATAATTCAGTGGTCAAACGTTGAACTGCCTCGGAATTGCAATTATAGGATCTTTAAAACTTCCTTGGGACAATCCAGGTAGTCCTTGATTTACAACGGGGTGGTTTAGAGATTGTCCAAAGGTACATCGGCCCTGAAAAAAAAAAAAAAAGATTTGCACTTAAGACCGTCACAGCCTCCTCCTGACAGACATCTGGGCTGTTTGTGTCTTTATGATGGTTGCAGGTCTGGTGATCATCATTTTTGACTTTCCTAGCCGGTTTCTGGCAAAAGTCAACTGGGGAAGCCAGATTCACTTACCAACCATGTGATTCACCTTAACTTTGTGTCAAGATGGGTGGCAAATCAACTTTATAAATAAATAAAACAACAATTGGCCCACAACCACCTCACTAAGCAATGGAAGTTTAGGTCACAATTTATGGTTGTAAGTCAAGGATTACCTGTATTCCTTTATTTTGCATTGCTAAGCCAGACAATGAATAGAAAACAGAATATAATAGAATTAGAATAGAAAATAGAACAGAATAGAAAATAGAGGAATAGAATAGAGAATAGAAATGGAGGAATAGAGAATAGAATAGAGAATAGAAATAGAGGAATAAAATAGAACGGAGAACAGGAATAGAATTAGGAATAGAACAGAACAGGATTCAGAATTAGAATAGAATAGTATGGAACAGAACAGATTTATTGTGATTGGACACACAAGGAATTTGTCTTCGGTTTATAAGCTCTCAGTGCACATAAAAGCTACAAGTGATAAATCACAATCATAGTCGTCATAAAAATACATTCATCGTAAATCAGAAGACACAACACTTAGTGATAGTCATAGAATCCTAAATAGATACCAGCATGAAATACATGCTGGTAGTGTCTTTTAGCTCCTAAAAAGGAGATTTACAGACTTTTATGTGCAGGGAAGATTTTACTGAACTACTGTACATTCGGTGGAAGAAACGATGCACGATGTGTCATAATCTTAAAAACAAACCAGCCTTTTCATCCATATTTTGTTTATTGGTCAATTTGCTTTTGCAGACAAATCTTAAGGCTGCGCAACTGGAGAGGGGAAATTATTTTAAAGCATTTTCTCTGGCGGAAATGGCTCTCCAAGTGATGTTCAAAGTTGAGGAAGACACTGATTCTATTCAGAAATCCACGATTAACCACGGCTTTACACAACCCAGTTTCCCAAGTTTGCACAACATCCTTGTACTGGCACACAACGTTCTTTCTGTAATTTTTCAGCTGTACAGTAGCTGGTTTTTGTGGATTTTTTTTGAGAAAAGTACCCAACCACCAGACCAATTTCGACAAACCATTCTTGTTTGGGACAATCTCTTTAATCTCTGCAATTGGAGATGCTTCACCCTCATTTTTCTGGGGTATTAATAAAAACAAGACACTTCAAAAAAAAAATTTATTAGAAAGCACGCAATACATCCTCCATATCCACTCCCCGAGATAACAGCAAATATATATATATATATACATACATACATACATATATATATTCATATTCTTATATTTTTATATATGTATAAAAATCAATATAATGTACATGCAAGGAAGATTCCCCTTTTGAAAACACAGACACAAGCTTTTACATTTTGTCCTGATTTAAACTGGCTCACTTACTAGATCTGTTCAAAACGGGAAAAGACAAAGGTCACTTCCCTGTTTGTGATTTTTGCCATTTTTGGAGCCATCCAACCATTATTAGGCCACAATAGGAATTAGGATACACTTAATATCATGACAATGAAGAGGCTATGGTTCTAAATCTGGAAGACCTCTAAGATCCCAACCTTTCCCTGTGAAGGAATCTACTGCCTCCTCTAAGGGATCTTTTCCAGCCATGTTGGGACGGTACTTCCCAGAATTCTTAGCCAATCTGTCTAGGGACAAGGGGATTCTGGGAGTTGCAGTTCCCGCACATCTAAAACACAAGGACTTAGACAAGATTGATCTAAACTTAACCACAAACTGCTACTAGGACAAAATTTAGGCAGTATATTTTTCCCGGAGGAAATTATCGTTTAAACCAGGACTGGTCCAATCTTGCAACTTTAAAGACCTGTGGACTTCAACTCCTAGAATGCCTCTCAGCCAACACAGAGTATTCTGGGAGCTGAAGTCCACAGGTCTTCAAAGTTGCCAAGGTTGGACACCCCTGACTTAAACCTTCCCTTGACCTGATAATATAGTACAGGTATGGCTATATATGGATGTTTTTCTCACTTTAACGCCCCACTCCCGCCTCCCAGAAAAAGCAGCTTTAGTTGAAAAAAGCAGCAATCTCACTAAGCGGAATGAATGAGAGGTAGTTCCTTTTCTAATTCAGATTAACTAGTTTACATTTAGACTTGTGAACACCATCTGTGTTCTATTTTTATTCAAATGCCAAATGAAATCGGATCAGTGCAACCCTGCACAGCCCTCTCCTGAACCCAGAAATGTTATCCCAGGATCCAGCCCTGTTCTTTATCCCAAGATGCCTTTCCAACTTAATTTGCAGACTCTTTATTTTCAATTCACCTAGGACATTTTTTCACCCTTTTTATCAAACTTGTTTCAGCCCAGTTTGCAATGTTGGGAGAACGGTACATGCAGAATTAGCTCTGCCCCGAATTATCTAATATCTTCCGGATCTCCAGCAGTTTGAGACTAATTTAAGGAGTTCTCACAATTATTAATTCTCCCCTTTCTTCCTGGAAAAGTTGAGAGCTGTTTCCCAACTCGGTCCCTTTTTGTCATCCAAGTTACTAGTCCTGTAAGGTTTGGCAATACATTCCACGGTATCAAAATGACCCCAACAAGGGAGGAAACGAGAGAATGTGGATTGCTTTGATACTAAAAAACATCCCAAAGTATTTCCCCCTCCCCTTCCGTAGGCCCTCCATCCATGTTATTCAACCAACTCTAGCCATTGTGCGTCACAAAATAATAAGTAATTTTTTAAAAAAATGGAGCAGAGGGAAAAAGAATCACACTTTCCATCACACGAGGAGCTGCCTGATGAGGTGACCTCAAAAGTTTGCAGAAATGCCAGCTGCAAAAATCCAGAATCTTTCCCAATACATTCAGATGTCTGCAGAAAAAGCAGAACGTTGCATTTGTTAAATGTGCGTACGTGTGTGTAAAAAGGGGGGGGGGGAGACCTTGGAGAAAGGGTTATGGCCCAATAAATTCAGTGTGTCCTCATCACGGAGGGAAGTTTCTTTAGCTGCCACAATAGAGGGGGCTTGGAGGAAAATCGTTGGCCTTGAAGCCTTCAACAGATACGGAGTCAAAATCTTTGCAATCTTTATGCTGTTGCCGGGTGTCGGAGGGATAGGAGGGAGGCCATCAAAGGAGCAATTTGAGGAGGAAGGAGAGGGCGGCCCCACAGGAAAGTCCCAAGGCCAGGAAAAACGTCATGATGGCCCCCGCCAGCTCACTCTCTTCCGGCTGGACCTGCCTGGAAGAGAGAATGAATGTCCAAATTTGAAGGTCATAGAAGTCAGTCAATCCTTCTTTCCTTCCCTCCTTTTCTTCCTTCTATCTTTTTTTCCCTTCCTTCATCCATCCCTTTTTCTTCCTTCCTTCATCCATCCCTTTTTCTTCCTTTCTTCCCTCCCTTTTTCTTTCTTCTATCTTTTTCTTCCTTCCTTCCTTCCCTCCCTTTTCCTTCTTCTCCAACTTTTCCTCCATCCCTCCCTCCTTTCCTTCCTACCTTTTTCTTCCTTCCTTCCTTCCCACCATCTTTTTCTTCCTTCTCTATCTTTTTCTTTCCTTTCCTTTTTCTTTCTTCCTCCCCCCCTGCATTTTTTTCTTCCTCCCTTTTTCTTCCTTCCTTCCTGCCATCTTTTTCTTCCTTCTATCTTTTTCTTTCTTATGCCAGGCAGCTCAGATCTAGAACTTGCCATTTCCTGCTGGTTTCCCCATTGACTTGACCATGGGAAGCCAGCAGGAAATCAACTCGCTAACATGTGATTCGGTTAACAAAGGCAACTGGAACTGCAGTGACTGCCAGATACACTAAGCTTTATATTATATTAACCATATTGCTTAGTGACAGAAATCCCAATCCCAACTGCTGTTATAAGTCAAGGACTACTCTGTAATCACAACAAAGCAAACACAAATCATCACAACTGGGGATTCCTCTGTACCTCATCCAAAAGCCACGTTTTTAAAGTTTCCTGGGACGTCTTTGAGATCAGAGCCATGCAGAACTTCGGGGGAACGGGACCTCATTCTGGAGCAGGGTTCTTCAACCTTGGCAACTTGGATTTCAACTCCCAGAGTTCCTCAGCCAGCTTGCTGGCTGGGGAATTCTGGGAGTTGAAATCCAACCATCTGAAAGCTGCCAAGGTTGACAAACACTGCTCCGTACAATTCCAGACAAATGGCTATTCAATCTTTTTTTAAAAGCCACAACTTCTGGCGGCAAGTAGTTCCCAAGTTAATTATTCTCCCTGTCAGGAAATTTCTTTTTAGTTTTAGGTTGGACCTCTCTTATCCTACTCACTTGGGTGCCAGGCACATGGTGAGGGAGACGAAGTAGCCATTGGAGAGAGAAAAAACCACCATCAGGACGACAAACCAGGCGTCGTGGCGGAAGAGCACAAGCCACTCGGTCTGGTTCTGGATGTTGCAGAAGAGAAACAAGGGGATGAGGAAGACTCGGAGTCCCACCGCGACGGGAAGGAGCCGAAGGTGCTTCTGCGGCTGGCGAGAGAAAAACCACGTTTCAACAGAACTTGTAAATAAAACATGTATTTATTTATTTGTATCCCACCTTTATTATTTTTGCGAATAACTCAGGGCGGCAAACATATCCGACACAGCTTCCTCCTCCTATTTTCCCCTTAACAACAACCCTGTGAGGTAGGTTGCCAAGCATCTGAACTTTGATCGTGTGACTATGGGGGCGCTGAAAGGGTTGTAAGTGTGAAAAACACTCCTAAGTCACTTGTTTCAGTGCCGTTGTCACTTTGAACGGTCACTAAACAAACAGTTTTAAGTTGAGGAATACCTGTATGGCTGCCCTTGATCTCCCCACCCTACCCCAATTCATGATGTCTGATCTTCCCCTCCGTGTCAGGGTTCCGATGGACGCCCTAATTATAAGACACACTATAAAAGAAAAAGGGCATTACAGAGGCTGGTGAAAACCGCCCAACGCATTATAGGGATTCCACTTCCTGCCATTGTGGACATTCAGAGGAAACGATGTCTGCACATCGTCCAGAAGGACCCCTTCCATCCAGCCCACAAACTGTTTACTCTTCTTCCATCTGGAAGGAGGTTCAGGTGCCTGCAGTCTAAGACCAGCAGGCTAGGGAACAGCTTTTACCACACAGCGGATTCCTTGCTGAACTCCTCAGTTCATTTGTCCCCACACGTATGCAGATGCTTCCCTTGATAATATATGATGTGTTTTGTACAATTCTCTGTGCATTTGTACTTATATTCAATGTGTCCATAAACATTTTGTACAGTTGCATATGTTCATGTATGTGCAGTCACACTTATCCTTGTGTGCGCGTGTACATACATTTTGTTGTGTTTTCCACTGACATATTCATAGGTGCCTTGCATATTTGCATACATATATTTATATTTTACTGTTGTTTTGCACTTCTGGTGGGATGCTAACTGCATTTTGTTGCCTGTATTTATGGCAATGACAATAAAGTTGAATCTAATCTAATCTAATCTAATCTAATCTAATCTAATCTAATTAATTCATGAGCCCTGAGCCAAGTTTCAAAAGAAATCCAATTATTTATTAGTAGCAACATGCCGGCACTTTTCCCAAGAGCAGTCAGGCTCTGCCCTACGTGATTTACTGCTCACCTGTGACCCCGTTTCCCCCCTCCTCCCAGGGTGTGTCATAAATCACATTCTCCAACGAGAAGCACTTTCCTGAGCTGTGGAAAACATGCCTTTTCGGCTGGCCCTGGTAACCTGCGATACCATCTGGAGAAAGGTATGCATGGACTGTGCTTCTGGTCACAGCTGCTCCATCAGTTCTCCCTCCCTCCTGCCTATGGCGACTCGAGAGCAGGCCAGGAATGCCTTACGAGTTGACATCCCACTTCTGCCACCAATTGCTCACCCAGAGGAAGTAGGAAGTGGAACTCCGCCCCAACCAGTCCATGACGTTGAAGAGAAGGAAGCAGCAAACGGGAGTGAAGTACTTCTCTAAGGGAGAGGAGAGAAGATGGGGAGACCCACAGAAGAGTTAAGACCCAGGAATGGGATTCAGCCGGTTCAACCCGGTTTGAGCGACCCAGACATTAAATTTACATTTGGTTCACTGGACTGATAGTTGAACTGACTGGCTGGCACCGCCCACCCTAACTGGCAGAAGTGCAGGGCCCACGCGGAGGCTCTGGGAAGGCATAAAACGGGCCAAACCGGAAGTTCTGGAAGTCTGGAAACAGGCCTGTTTCTGGAGGCCCTCCGCAGCCTGGGGCAGGCTGTTTTTGCCCTCTCAGAGGCCCGAGGGAAGCCTCCGGACTCTGGGGAAAGTGGAAAACGGCCCTACCGGAAGTTCCGGTAGGCCACACCCACCATGGCCGCACCCACTCAGCAGAAAACCAGTTGCTGGGATTTTTGAAACCCATTCCTGGTTAGACCGTGTCCTGAGTCAAGTTAACTCAGCCCTCCGAGTTCCAGACAGAGACCGCTTTCAGAAAACAGCCCAACCGAGGAACCACCAAGACCTCAACAATGCTAACAGAGAAAGCCACTGTCAGCTGGTGCTCCGTTCAAAATCCAGGAAAGAAATACTTAGACTTTTGTAATTAGAGAAAAGATGTCTTTTACCGGAAGTCAGTGGTAGAAAAAGAAAATTCTGAATCTGGGTAAATAGGCACGCACATCACATATATCAAGGGAGTGAAATGTTCCCACCCCCAACAGTTCAAACGGTTCTTCCAATTAAAAGTTGTGAACTACATCATGCGGACATCTCCAGGTGGTGATGATTAGTTGACCTTGGCTTACTCAGACAAAGGGTTGCAGTTGCGCAGAGAAGAGAAAGCTAAGCAGGAGTGAGAAACCCTTCCCAGTTTATACAATATTAGTTAGCAACACTTGCAGCTTACATCCCATACATTTCCCCCTTCCACCCCACCGTTACTCATGGCAGCCAGAAAGAAGCAAAGGAAAGGAGGAAGATCTTGAAGGCTGACATTCGGGCCTCCTAGAAAAAAAACGTTAGTCCTGTAAAAGAGGGAAATATAAAAGGCGCGACTTAATAACCAGTTCAGGTTTTAACAAACTAACGTGGAAAACCGGGTGAATTCGTCGAAGGCTTTTAGGTAATTTCAATTGGACTGTCACAGGGTTTACAATTCGTTCAATCAAGAAAGGACCAACATGCTTAGGACCAAATTTCTTTGACTTTTGAGTGGTTTGTAGATATCTGGTGGACAAAAAGACTTTATCGCCCACTTGATATGGGTTTTGTGGAGTCCTCTTTTTGTCTGCAAATTTCTTATGAGCCCGATGTGCGTCATCCAATGCTTTACGAACGACTGGCCAATTAAGCTGGAGTTGTGTTATCCATTCATCTAATGACTGAATACTAGGCCTCTCACAAGGGAGTTCGGGTATGGGTACAAAGTCTTGTCCCATTGCCACCTCTTCAAGGGGTAAATCCAGTACTACTATGGATAGAATTGTTATATGCGACTTCAGCAAATGGTAATAGGTCAGTCCAGTTATCTTGCTGATAGTTTATGTAACATCTAAGGTACTGCTCCAATACCGCGTTAGTCCTCTCACAGGCCCCATTGGTTTGGGGATGGTGGGCAGAACTTAATCCCTGGGCGGAGCCCAATGACTTCAGGAACTCCCTCCAAAAGTTTGAGGTAAATTGAACACCCCTGTCAGAGATTATGCGCTCAGGAACCCCATGTAATCTATAGACATGCAATATAAACAGTTTAGCCAACGTTTTTGCAGATGGAATCTTCGAACAAGGTATGAAATGTACTTGCTTGGAAAACAAATCAGTTACCACCCAAATAACTGTGTTTCCCCCGCTTTCGGGTAATTCCACTATAAAGTCCAACAACCCAGCTCAGACAGCACCCAGGACCCCAGAGTAAGGAGAAATTTCCTGACAGTTAGAACAACTGAACAGCTTGCCTCCAGAAATTATGGGTGCTCCATCACTGGAGGCTTTTAAGAAGAGATTGGACAGCCCTTCGTCTCAAATGTTATAGGGTCTGAGCAAGGGTTCGACTAGCAGAGCTTCCAACTTTGTTATTCTGTTATCCTCCTCCTCCTCTCTATAAACCCCACTCCCTTCCAGCACTGACATCTGCAAGAAAACTGAGCTCGGAGAGCACCAAGAACCAATATTCTTCTTCGTCCACTCCCTTCTAGGATGGATGATGTTACTTAGTTGGGTCATGAAACATCTGCAAGAAAACCACCACGCTCAAGACCTCCCCTTGGCTGGCTCTTTCCCATCAGCTGATTTTCAACTTGGAGAGGCACTGAGGAGTGGATCCCCCTTCCATAAATCCCCCTCTTGCCCCTAACCCCAGCTCCAGCCAATGCTGACCAACCCTGCCCCTTCGTGCCCTGTAATTAAATGACCCATCACTCACGCCAAGACTGATCCTGAGAAGAGCTGACAATTCTCGTGGTAATGGCCGGAAACACCGAGAGGGTAATGGAGAAGTCCATCACGATGGAGAGGGCCAGTAGCCAAATCTGAAGTGGGAAAGCAGAAGCGATGTGACACAATCCACGTTCAATATCTGGGTTGCTCTGTGGTCTCCCTTCAACCGGCATCAAGCGGAACACGATTCGAGAGCCAACTGAGTCCCAGTATAAAGGCAGTCCTTGAATTATGACCACAAGGGAGCCCGGAGTATCCATCATAAGGCATGAAAGTCATAATTTGAAGGCACCCATGTGATCAACCCAACTTTCTGACTTATTCTGCGGCAGTTGTTCAATGAATGTAGCAGTCATTCATTCCAATGGGCATTTTTTTGGCCAGAAACCAACAAAAAAATGATGGAAATAGCAGACATGTGACCAAGGAACATTTAATCCAAACCACTATTTCTCAACCTTGTTGACTTTAACATGTTTAACAGCTTCCACTCCCAGAATTCCCCAGCCAGCCTGCTTTAAGATGGGTGGACTTTAATTCCCAGAATTCCCCAGCTACTATGCTTTAAGATGGGTGGACTTAATATTATTTATACATTTTTCTTTAACATACATTGGTGCTTAGTAAGCAGTGTATTACCTAGATCAATTTACTTATACAGTACATAGTAATAGTAGTAGCAATATTGTTTATTTATACATATTAATAATCTTTCCACTTCTAACTTTTACCTCTATAATCTAACCATTGATAGAACAAATCCCACGTTAAAAAACTATTCTGTATCTTCTTTGGGGACACCTAATGATCTTTGTTGCTCTTCTCTGCACTCTTTCTAAGTTCTGAATATCCTTTTTTTTCTATCACGGTGAGCACAAATGGATGCGCTATTTTCAAATGTGACCTCAGGGACGTGGTATTAAGCATTAATATCACTTCCTGTCATCTTGATGCTATTTCTCTCTCTTCACGCAGCCCAAATTGTGAAGGCTTTTTGAAATCAACTTTTCAAAAGAAAGGAAAGATAAGCAATTACGTCTTCTTGCTTAAGAAGGCCCATTCCTAAAATACTTTTTGCAGAAGAGCGGTTTTTCTGTTGCCTAATCATTTTCTTTTTTCCCCCTATTTACCAGGAATTGAAACAGGAACTTCCGCTTTCTATAAGCAATGGTTCTTTCCTTCTTCTTTTAATATATATATATATATATATATATATATATACACATTTTTCTTTAACATATATAGATATTTAATAAAGTGTACTGTCTGGGTCATTTTACATATACATATTAGGGATAATAATAATAATATTCTTTGCTTATATATAATAGTATTCTTTCAACTTCCAATTTCTACTTTTATTATCTAACCATTGGTTTGAGTGGTGCAGTGGCCTAGACAGGGAACTCTGACCTCACCATCAGAAGGCTGTGAGTTCAATCCTAGGTAGAGGCATATATTTCTTTCTCTGGGCACAATTTTGTTCTGCCGAACAAAACTCCACTCTGGAAACAGGAAAGGCATCCGGCCAGTAAAATGCTCTGCTAGCTCCATTCAGTTGCCCAGACTCCACCCCTCAAGGAATTATGGAGTTGAGGATGATGATTATCTAACCATTGATAAAACAAATGGTTCTTACCTTCTTGAGCACACTGAAAAGGGAGGGGTCAGGGGCAACCACGCCCACCCCACTGCCTCCATTCATGACTTCTGGCGGGCAAGCCGAGCCAAACTTCTCCAGGACCACGGCGTTCCCATTCTTCATGTTGAGCGATTCTCCTTTGGAACTGTCTGCCACAAGAGCGGAGCCGTTCTCTGAAGAGATACAAAAGGGCGCCCGTCGAAATCAAATGACGTTGCAACTTTTTAAAGCTACAGGTAGCCCTCGACACTGAAACAAGTGACTTATGACCGTTTTTCACACTTACGACCATGGCAGTATTCCTGTAGGCGCATGATCAAAATTCAGACTGGCTCTCATTTATTTATTTTTTATATTTTATTTATACGTTTTTCTTTAGCATACATAAGTGCTTGATAAACAGTGTTTTATCTGGATCAATTTACTTATACATAATCATAATTTCCAATTTCTAATTTCTGCCTCTATTGTCTAACCATCGATAAAACAAATCTCACGTTAAAAAGTGTTCTATATCTTCTTTATCCGTTTTCTTTCATATCAACCTATCCATTTCTGCACCATCCAGTATTTTTTTTTAATTGTATTTTCTTCTGTAGGAATTTCCTCTTTTTCCCAGTTGCTGTGCAAATATAATTGCACTTAACAATGAGTCGCCATGGGCGAATAGGTGGCAATATAAATCAATCAATCAATCAAATAAATAAATAATTCTCACTGCTGTCAAGACATGTAATATTAAATATATGTTCCCTTTATCATATTTTTTTTCTGGTAGTATTATACCTAGCAAAAAATATTTCTGGCTTTAAATCTATATGTTGCTTTAACATTTTCTCTAACCACGTTTGTATTTTCGTCCAACACTTTTTTGCATTTGGGCATGTCCACCACATATGGAAGTAGGAACCCGGAAATGTTGCGTTTCCGACATTTGGCAGACCTGTTTTTAAACATCTTTGCTAGCCTTACTGGTGGCAAATGCTACCTGTAAAACATTTTGGTTTTTGGTTTTCCTTGTAAGTAGTTGCCATTGTCAAGGCACAGAGGCTGTACTTCCGGCAAATGCTCAGGAAGATCAATTTATCTCAGCATCTCCTTCTGTTCTGCTACCGCAGCACCATTGAGAGTGTCTTGACATGCGACATCTTTGCATGGGATGGGAGCAGCTCTGTAGCAGTCAGAAAAGCTCTTCAGAGAACCATTTAAACTTCCCAGAATATTATCGGACTCCAACTACCAGCCCTGGATGACATCTTCACATCTCGCTATTTGAGGAAGTCACACAAACAGTCTCGGAGACTCTTCCCATCCTGCTTACAATCTTTGTGAACTGTTGCCTTCTGGCAGAAGATACAGAACAATTAAAACTCGGACCACACATTTTTCTGAAGTTCTTTTTATCCCAGAGCTATAATTGTACTTAACAATGAACTTAAGGCTCACCATCAGTGAGCTATTGGACAGTATTGCTTGGTCTGTTGTGCGTTTTTGGGGGGCAGGGAACTTTGGCAGGTGGGATGGGTGGGTATTTGGGGATTGTCACGTGTGTGTAATAAAGAATAAAGATATACTATAGAATGAGATAAATGGCAAAAACTTTGGGACAGAAATTACAAATTGACAATTGAATTGTCAATTTGTAATGTTTGTCTCAAAGTTTTTGCCATTTATCTCATCCTATAGTATATCCAAATTATTTTGCCCATACTATCATTGTTTCATTCACCTGTTCATCTTCCATTTTAAGGGGCAACTTACTCATACTTATAACGGTCCGGTGGTCATGTAATCGCCATTTGCGACATTCTGAGAAGGAAAGAGGCGGGGGGAGAAAGGGAGCCAAATTTGTTCGATGACCCTGTGATTCACTTACCAACTGCACTGATCTGCTTAACAACCGTGGCAAAGATAGTCACAAAATTGGGGTGGAGGGGACTCGCTTAGCAATCGCTTTGCTTGGCCAAAGGAATTCTGCTTCCAATGGAGGTTGTAAGTTGAGCGCTAACTTTAAGTGAAATCAAAGGACTCTCCTCAGGCTGGATTCCAAATCTACGCCTCTCTCACCCCACCCAAAATGTATTTATAACTCTGGAATTTTACTTGTTTGGACTGGTGATGATTGCTGGAATGTTATTTTTGGGGTGGGTGCGGTGGGGAAATGACGACACAAATCCCAAAATGGCTACGGCCCAATTCTAATTTAATTTATGTTCAAACAGGTTGATGATTCATACTTATTCTCTGTGTACTTAATAGTTTTGCATTTACACAGAGTTCAAAATTAGGCTTCAGAAGCAGAATTGGAATACAAGTCATGCTTCCATGCCCTGGGGATGAGATTGTACCTCCCTGTCTTTCACAGCAGTTCAAAGAGAAACGCCCTAGCCAAATTTGATTTAATTCAAAACAGGCTGCAGGACAACAAAGGGGAAAGCAGAAATGAAATATTTGTCTCTATTGTTTTATTTTCTCTTTGTCTTTTTCTTCTAGTTTTAACATTGATAAATAATAATATAGCAGGCTTTTAAATCGGGCTCAAAAATGTATATTATTTATTAAATTATTATTTATTATATTAAATGTATGTTATTTGTTGGAGTGGAGGTTTTCTGAAATGCTGCCAGTATACAGGTAGTGCTCAACTTACGACCAATATCAAACCCAATATTTCTGCTGCTAAGTGAGACAAGGGAATTTTGCCCCATCTTATGATTTTTCTTGCCACAGTTGATCAATGAATCACTGCAGTTGTTAAGTAAGTCACGCGGTTATTAAGTTAATCTGGCTTTCCCAATGGGGAATTCTGGGAGTTGAAGTCCCAGAATAAAGCATGCTGCCTGGGGAATTCTGGGAGTTGAAGTTCATCCATTATGGAGTATGCTGGCTGGAGAATTCTGGGAGTTGAAGTCCACTCATTTTAAATCAAGCTGGCTGAGGAATTCTGAGAGATGAAGCCCGCCTTTATTAAAATTGCCAAGGTTGAGAAACATTGCTTTCAGCCTTCAACCTATATCGGAGGTTAGATTTTGGATATTGGGGGTGCAGGGAGAAACAATCAAATTCTCTTAGATCAGCCCATTTGTCTTTTGGACTTTGTTTCCCAGAATTCTGAGTCCAGCACTGGAAGATCGGCAGGCTGGGAAAAGACTGATTTGGAGACCAACCAGGCTTGCAGGACCAAACATTATATCTCCACCACCAGTAGCGATTCGATTTTTGACAACTTTTCCATTCTCCCCATTTAAAAAAAAAAAAATTCAAATATCCCACCTAGCGAAAGGAGGCCTGCCTTGGTCTCCAATTCACATCCCGAATCTCCTGGTGGTCTTTTCTCCAGATAGTAACGAGTGAAGGTCTGCAGAGAAAGAAGAGTTAATAGTCTCTCAACGGTCACCTGGTTTGCTGGGAGCTCCAGATCAAAATCGGGTTCTCAAGAAGCTAAGCTAAGGTTCTTGCTGGATGGAGCACTACTAGGAAATCCTAGAGCTTGAGAACAGAGTTAAAACTTGAAAAATTTCCCTGGAGAACCAGGGGAATTTTATAAACTGCTTTATAAGGCCGTGGTTAACGCCATACTTGGAATACCGCCCCCAGTTTTGGTCGCCACAATATAAATAAGATGTTGAGACTCTGGAAAGCGGTGCAGAGAAGAGCAACTAAGATGATTAGGGGGATGGAGGCTAAAACATATGAAGAAGAGTTGCAGGAACTGGATGTCAGGATTCCAGCACTTAACCCCATTTAAATCCTGAGTCTCGAGCCAAACTTCCAAAACTTCAAAAGGATTTATTGGGAGTTAAAAGATCCAGCATTGCCTGGGTGTAGCCGACTCTGAGACGTATAATTCATTGTCACCCTTGACCCTTATTTTCCCCCCACACCCTGGGTGTATCCTAATTCATATTCTCCAATGGGACACCTCCATAGCCCAGAGTCATCAATCATGCTCTCCAGTTAGAATTTTGCCTGGCAGAAACTTCAGTCACCTAGTTACTGTCTTTGAAAACATTTATGGAATGCACTTTCGGTTTTGCAAGCGGCTGCAATGCTCCCCCTCCCTGTCTATTGACAACTCCAAAAAGACCAGATAAATATTTCATGAGTTGACACTAGGTATGTCTACTTTAATGAAAAGAAAGAATAGGGAAGACAGAACAGTAGTCCAATATTTGGGCGGGGAGGGGGGGGGGCTGCCCCAAAGAAGAAGGGAGTCAAGCTATTCTCCAAAGCACCTGAAGGCAGGATGAGAAACAATGAATGAAAACTAATCGAGAGAGAGAAGCAACCTAGAAATAAGGAGAAATTTCCTGACAGTGAGAACAATTAACCAGTGGAACAACTTGCCACCGGAAGTTGTGGCTGCTCCATCACTGGAGGATTTTAAAAAGGGGCTGGACAGGCATTTGGTCTGAAATCGTGTAGGGTCTCCTGGTTGAACAGGGGGTTGGACTAGAAGTCCTCCAATAGAGTCCCTTCAGACTCTATTATTCTGTTAAGAGGGACAAAGCTTATTGTTTATTGTACCCCATGACTATCATTAAGTGTTTGTACTTTATGATTCTTGATGAATGTATCTTTTGTTGTATACTGAGAGCGTTTGCACCAAGACAAATTCCTTGTGTGTCCAGTCACACTATTCTGTTCTGTTCTGTTCTGTTCTGTTCTGTTCTATTCTATTCCACTCCATATTTTCTATTCTATTCCATTCCATTCCATTCCATTTTCTATTCCATTCCATTCCATTTTCTATTCTATTCTATTCTATTCTATTCTATTCTATTCTATTCTATTCTATTCTATTCTATTCTATTCTATTCTATTCCATTCCATTCCATTCCATTCCATTCCATTCCACCCTAAGGATCTTACCTGATGGGGCAGCAAGAGATAACAGGCAATAGAAACGAAGGTCCCAACACAGGGGGTAACGAAATAGATCAGGGCAGAAGACAGTCGGTCCAAGCCACCTAAAGGGAAGAGAAAATGGTGTTTTGGCAGAGAAATCCAAGGTTTTGCAACTCTTCAGGCACAGGACGCAATCACTATGTTCTCAACAGTTGGCTAAGCCAGCCTTAAACCCCTGAGCCAGAGGAGATCCTTCTTCCTTGCTCTACTTTTTTATAAAAGTTTTTTTATTTTTTTATAAGTACAAACAATTCATCTTCCATTTAACGGTGTGTTGTGGGGGTACAGATATCTTGTGCGACAACAATCAAAATTACTACCATATTCATTACTTTGATATTAGTTCTCCATTGTTATCTTATTATTAATATACATATCTCTCACACTATAACAATAACATGTTTAGATCTTCACTTATTATTAGTATATATATATATCTATCATTATAACCATTCTCTTCTTACCACGTTTAATTCTATTAAGATATTTTCCTTATTTCACTAATCTATTAGATATTTCTAGCTTTCATGTTTTTTCTCAAACCCACATATGATAATATGAGCCAGGTGTCCTTCTTCCTCCCTGTGGCAGGTAGTTCCCCAGACCAAAAAAGCTTTCTATTTGGATATTTCTGTGGGGATATTTTCAGTCCCCCCACCCAATTGGCAGACTGTTCTCTTCCCTACCCTTTGAAAGATCTTCCCTGGCTCTTTCAAATGAGGTGCTTTTCAGACACACTACACACACACACCGATACTCACTGGCCAAGGAAAGCAACATGGCGATGGCCGCAAACGTTCCCGCCATTCCTTGACCGCTGAGAAAAAGGGTGCTGTATCTTTGCGGGAAAGACCCCAGCAGGCCGAAAAGACTCCCTTGCAGAACGGCACAGAAGGCTGAGGAGAATGAAGGAAGACAAAGTCAGGAACGAGACTGTTTCGTGTCCATTTGGTTTTCGACTTAAAACGGTTCATTTAGTGACCGTTCAACCTGGAAATAAGGAGAAGCTTTCTGACAGTGAGAACAATCCACCCATGGATCAGAAGTTGCCTTCGGAAGTTGTGGGAGCACCATCACTTGTGGCTTTCAAGAAGAGATTGGACTCCCATTTGTCAGAAATGGTGTAGGGCAAGAGTGGCTAACCTTTTGGGGCTCCTGTGCCCAAAAATTGCGTGCGCGCTTATGCGCACATGCTTGCGTGCCAGCACCCAGAAGGCAATGTGTGTGGTCCCCCGCCCCCTGCGCATGCGCACGCAATTACCCCCCCCCTTACTTGCACTGTGCCTCCCAGCTGATTTTGGCCCATTTGAGGCCTTTTCCGGCCTGCCAGAGGCTTGACGGAAGCCTCTGCAGGCTTTGCAGGCCGAAAAATGAGCCCGTTGTCACTTCTGGTATTTCCGGAAATACAGGAAGTGATGAAATGGGCCTATTTTTCATCCTGCAAAGCCTGCAGAGCTTCCCTCAAGCCTCTGGCAGGCCAAAAAAGGCCCGAAAACCAGCTGGGAGGTGTATGCATGCATAGTGAGGTAAGGTTGCCTGGGGCTTGCATGCCAGCACAAATGGCACGCCAAGCCCAAGGTTTGCCATCATGGGTGTATGGTCTCCTGCTTGGTCCTCAAGCTCACAACAACCCTGCGAGGTAGCTTGCCAAGAGTTTTTTTTGCGGGGTGGTGGTGGAGTGGGGCAAATGAAGATTTGAATGGAGTTCAAAGCTCAAAATATCAGATGTAACCGAGAGGAATTAGGGCAAAGATCTCCAAACTTGGCAACTTTAAGACTTATGGACTTCAACTCCCAGAATTCCTCAGCTATGCTGGCTGGAGAATTCTGGGAGTTGAAGTCCACAAGTCTTAAAATTGCCAAGTTTGGAGATCCCTGAATTAGGAGGTCCGTGGTGTGTTTTTCTGTGCTTGGGGTTTTTCTTACAGACGTTTTATGACCCAGCTAGGTAACATTATCAGTGCTACAGAGGAATGAACCAGCTCCAACTCACAGTTAATGAACCAAACGCTTGCCATGGTGATGGAGAAGAAACTCTGCGGTGACATCTTCACCTTAACCAAGATGGTGGTCAGCACAAAGAGGAGCAGAATTCCTGCCAAACTGCCCAAAATGCGCACTTTGTCCGAAATGCTTTGGAAGGGAGGAAAAAAAGGACATGTGAATAGCCGGAAAGTTAGTGCTGGCTTACAGACATCTCCCTGCTGGGAAAAAGGAAGGCATGAAGATATTTATTTATTTCTATCCCGCCTTTTTAATTTTTTACAAATAACTCATAATGCAGCAATCATCATTATCCGTCACACCTTCATCCTCCTATTTTCCCCATGACAACAATTCCGGGAGTTGTGAGTCAGCCCTGTCCCTTCCCTTCCCTTCCAACCCTTCCAAGCTTGCAAGCAAGGCCCCCTGCAAAATGAAGGACATACATACCATTTTGCAGCAACTAAGATTGTTGGCTGAGCTGGGACAAAAACAGCCAAGGAAAAGATTGAAACCTGGCAAACAGGCCCTTCGCCAGTCAATAAGAGTGTTGGTTTTTACTGTCAGCTTATCAAGTCCTTATAGGGACATGTTGGCTCAGTGGCTAAGACGCTGAGCTTGTCAATCAGAAAGCTCGGCTGTTCGGCGGTTCAAATCCCTAGCGCAGTGGTAGCTAACCTTTTTGGGCTCCTGTGCCAAAAATTGCACACGCATTAGCGTGTGCACACTCATGTGTCAGCACCCAAAATGCAATGCGCCCCCCCACGCCCCCTGCGCATGCATGCGCAATCCCCCCCGTCACCCCCTTACCTGCACTGTGCCTCACAGCTGATTTTTCCACTGGTTTGAGGCCTCTGCAAGGGTTTTCAGGACGAATAATAGGCCCGTTTCATCACCACTGGAATTACAGGAAGTGACGAAACGGGCCTATTACTCGCCCTGCAAATCCTGCAGAGGCTTTTTCCAAGCCTCTGGGAGGCTGAAAAAAGTCTCAAACCAGCTGAAAAATCAGTTGTGAGGCACACGCATGCGCAGTGAGGTAAGTTTGCCTGCGGCTCGCGTGCCAGCACAAATGGCTCTGCGTGCCACTTGTGGCACACGTGCCATAGGTTCGCCATCACGGCCCTAGTGCCATGTAACGGAGTGAGCTCCCGCTAACTTAACCCAGCTTCTGCCAACCTAGCAGTTCGAAAGCATGTAAAAAAATGCAAGTAGAAAACTAGGGCCCCCTTTGGTGGGAAGGTAACAGCGTTCCGTGCGCCTTCGGCCATGCCGGCCACATGATCACGGAGACGTCTTCGGACAGCACTGGCTCTTCGGCCTTGTAACGGAGATGAACAGCGTCCCCTAGAGCCGGAAACGACTAGCACGTTTGTGCGACAGGAACCTTTACCTTTACCAAGTATTTAAGAGCTGAGCACAAAGAAACAACGACTTAATAGCCAGCTATCAACAACTACAAAGCCACACACCACAGGCACCCCATAAATACTACACACTGAATAGCCCAAAGCACATATTCTGCTGGAGAGGTTCCCTGAGGAGCATCAGTCTGAACCTCTGGTCCCTGTAAAACCGACCCAGACCGGATCCTGCAAGGATCCTTCTCACTGAGCAGAACAATCAGGCCCGAAAGAGAGAAACGTGGTAAGAGGCAGCCGGCAAGTCAAACGCAGAGAGAAAAACAACCCAAACATTGAGAGAGAGAGTGAAAAACGTGTCTCACCAGCGATAGAGGATGGAGTTGAGAAAGGTGAAAAGCAGCAAAGGCAACTGAGAAAGGAGGGTCAGCCAGTTACTGAAGCTGAATTCGTCTTTGCAGGCGGACCCCGGTTGGGGGTTCAAGGCTGTCTGATTCTCAGTCGCTCCGGCAGAGCAGTTCCCCATGAGCCTGGCCTCGAAATACTGGCAGGAGAGAAAGCGTATAATTAGAAACACACACGTGTCACAGAGTCCATTGTGTGGTGATGCTGTGTTGTGGTTCACCAGCAGCAGGTGCGGGCGGCTGAGGTCTCAGAGAGCAAGGACTCGGATGAGGGGCCTGCGTGTGATGCAGGGATGGGGCCAGGACCATCAGGGAGTGGAGTGCTGCCTTCGGAGCTTGTGGAGGCTGGCAGCAGTGATGAAGAGGCCCCTGAGGAGCCTGTGCCCACGCAGGACTGCTAGAAGGAAAGAGCAGCTGCAGCAGCACAGGTGACTCGGGAGTAAGGCTGCAAGGTAATGGCCTTCCCTTAAGAGATAAAAGCCAGCTGAGAAATCGGAGTTCTTTGCAGAAAGCAAAGAAGTTTTTGCACTCAAGCCTGGTGGATGTTCAGAATATCTTGGTTGGTGTTTGGAGACTCCTTAGTGTTTGAAATATTTCTTAGTAACTTTATCTTGTGTTCTTAGCAGCCCTGCACCACCTTGGCAAGGCTCATTCTTATCAGAGACAATTAGTCTGAAACAGCCTTTTAACCGTGAAGGAATGGAATTCATAAAGAATCATTAAAAGGTTTTGCTGTTACGTCCGTTTCATGTTTGTTTCCTTGGAACAAGGTTTGGGTCAGAACACGCTGCTCCATAGACCCCCATGGACCCCAAGGATGTAACAGGGATTAAGTAGGCTTTAAGAAACCTAGTCTGATGTATCTTCCTAATGCACCCCTCCCCCTCCCAATGAAACAAATGTAATTAGGAAAAAAAATGAAGCAATTGGGTGAGAAAAGAGTCCTAATAGTCAGGAAATGGACTGAATTGGATGGGATCTTAAGAGGCCATCTATCCCGACCCCGCGCTTAATGGAATCAGGCCTATCCTTCATATAAAGAGTGACACCTTTCCATCCCACCATTCCTGGCCTGATTCCTACAGGTAGTCCTCAACTTACAACAGTTCATTTAGTGACCATTCAAAGCTACAACGGCTCTGAAAAAAGGGACTTAGGACCGTATTTCACACTTACGACCATAGCAGCACCCCCCACGATCAAAATTCAGAGGCTTGACCACTGATACATATTTATGACCTTTACTGTGTCCCTTTTGTGACCTTCTGACAAGCACAGTCGATGTGGAACCCTGACTCACTTAACAACCGTGTAACTAACTTATCCGCTGCAGATTCACTTAACAGCCGCGGCAAGAGAGGTCGTAAAATGGGGCAAAACTCACTTAACCGCTGTCTTGCTTAGCGACAGAAATACTGGGCTCAATCGTGGCCGTGAGTCGAGGACTACCTGTAATTGTCTCTAAACGAGGATCAGAAGGAGAATAGAGGGACATAAAGCAGAGCATCTCAACCCCTCCAATGGCCCAGGACTGTCTCCCGAACGAAGGACTTACCGGAATGGCTGTGATGAAAAAATTCCACGGAAGAAGAGTCCCCAAGCCCAGGAGGAAAAATAGGATTCCCACACAGTGGAACCTGGAAAGAGAAAAAAAACCCCATTCAGATGACCAGACTTTGACTCTACCTACTGCAGAAGAGGGAGGGAGGGAGAGGGAGAAGGAGAGAAATGGATAGATTAGTCATTACTAGATAGATGCTGAGATAGACAGATAGATAGACAGACGGGTGGATGGACGGACAGACACAGAATGGCTGGGATAGATAGATAGATAGATAGATAGATAGATAGATAGATAGATAGATAGATAGATAGATAGATAGATAGATAGATAATGAAATAGAGAAATGGATAAACAGAAATAGATTAGTCTTTAATAGATAGATGCTGATAGACAGGCAGGCAGGCAGGCAGAATGGATGGGATAGATAGATACAGACAGAAAGAAATAGAGAAATGGATAAATAGAAATATATTAATCATTAATAGATAGATGCTGAGACAGACAGAATGGATGGGATAGATAAAATGGATGAGATAGATAGATAGATGGATAGATAGATAGATAGATAGATAGATAGATAGATAGAGAAATAGAGAAATGGATAAATAGAAATAGTTTAGTCATTAATAGATGCTGAGATAGATAGACGGACAGACAATGTTCTTGAAAAAGCTGAGGTTTTTCTCCTGATTCATTCAGCTCTGTGTGTTTGTGTGTGTGTGTGTGTGTGTGTGTGTGTGTGTGTGTGTGTGTGAGAGAGAGAGAGAGAGAGAGAGAGTAACTGTGGGCTTTATTTATTTCTAAACCTGAAAATGCAGTTTGCAGAAGACAGAGTAGAACTTTTGGTGGGAGGGAAGAAAGGGCTAGAAAATAAATCCCTGTCCGCCAGGAAAACCTGAAGATTTCAGAGTTTTCATCCTCATCCTGCTAGCAAAAAACACTCTACATATGCTCAGAATGACAGAGGCACATTCTGCCTCTTAAGGACACAAGCGGTTGTCTCGGAGGTGCTAAAATTCCTTTCCATCGAAACGGCTTATGACGTTGCTCAGGTTTCTAAGGAATTAACCCCAAACAGAGCCTGTAGGATTGATTCTTGCATCCTAAGGTTTTCCAAGCACATACCGTCCCTGTCTTACTGTTCCCACTTATTTGTACTTATTCATCATGTATATACTTATACCTGTTTATACTTACATGTTTATATGTTATGTTCATACTTATATTTGTTTTCTCATACATGCTTGACATACATACATACATACATACATACATACATACATACATATATACATACATACATAAATAGCCAGCCTGGACTGGAAACACACACATTGCAACTTACACGTCTCTGGGCATTTCCTGTGATCCCATGATTAACCGATTTCCTGAAGCGGGAACAGGAAACGTAGCGCAGTTGCTCTTCTATCCGACCAGAGCTGGATCTGGAGGGTAACAGAAAATGATTGAAAGAGGAAATTCAGCCTACCGTCTCCCAGGAGCTGAACCCAGCAGCAGGTGCCTTTGCCCTTTGTAGAATCACAAGGCTAGAAGGGGGCCTTGGAGGTCTTCTAGTCCAACCCTCTGCCAAAGCAGGAGATTTTACACCAGCCCAGACAAATAGGCGTCCAATTTTTTTTTCTTTGAAAAACGATTTTCTTAAAAGAATTATCTGTAATATCCCACCTTTATTATTTTTATAGACAATTCAAGGCAAGGGATATAGATAGATAGATAGATAGATAGATAGATAGATAGATAGATAGATAGATAGATAGATAGATAGGAGAGATGAGAGATTAGATTGATAGACAGATGATGGACAGACAGATCTGATAGATAGACAGATCTGATAGAGATAGATAGATAGATAGATAGAGATGATAGACAAATATAAGAGAGAGAGATGATAGAGAGATAGAGATAGAAATGAGAGAGATATGATAGGTAGGTAGTTAGGCAGGTAGACAGAGATAGATAGATGATAGATAGATAGATAGATAGATAGATAGATAGATAGATAGATAGAGATGATAGAGATAGAGATATCAGAGATGGATTAGACTGATAGACAGATATGATAGATATATAGACAGATAGATATAAGAGATGATAAATAGACAAATATAAGAGAGAGAGGTGATAGAGAGAGAGAAATGAGAGAGATATGGTAGGCAAGTAGGTAGATCGATCGATCCAACACATCTTCTTCCTACTATTTTTCTCCACAATAACAATCCTGTAACATGGGTTGGGCGGAGAGAGAATGACATGGCTAAGGCGGGACTAGAACTCATTGTCCCCTGGTGATTGGCCCAAAGTCAGCTAGCTTTTCTGCCTAAGAAAGGACTAGAATTCACCGTCTCCCGCTCTCTTGCCTGATGACATATTATGCTTCATTATGAAACTTTGTGGTTGGGGTTAGTTTTTGGGGAGGAAAATATGAGGGAAAAACTTCAGCCTCTGCATACCAGCATCCATCAGTATTCATCTGGCTAGCCTCCTGTCAGTGTGTGAGAGTTGAGGGCTGTTTGGAAACTGAAGCAGTATTTGTTGTGTGAACAAGGAGACAGCAAGGAGCCTGGGCGTGGCTTAGCTCAACTGTTCTGTACTGCTTGATGCTGTACTGCTTGATGCTGTGAAACTAAAACTGAAACTCGTCTCCTTTGCTTGCGTTTTGCATTTGGAAGAGATTTCTTTTCAGGTGGGGAGAGAGAGTCGAACTCCTTAGCATCAGAGAATAATAATAATAATAATAATAATAATAATAATAATGATAATAATAATAATAATAATAATAATAATAATAATAATATCAGAAATACTAATGATCTGATGGTCATTTGGAAAAATCCTTTCTTAGAGAGCACCTAGAAGCCAAGAGGAACATATGGGCCAAATTTCAAGTTTGTAGGCTTTACGGTTCTGGAGATTTTGTGATGATGCATGAGTGCTATTTCACTTTTAGATAGATAGATAGATGATAGATAGATAGATAGATAGATAGATAGATAGATAGATAGATAGATAGACAGACAGACAAATAGACAGACAAATAGATAGGAAGGAAGGAAGGAAGGAAGGAAGGAAGGAAGGAAGGAAGGAAGGAAGGAAGGAAGATAAAGTATAGCTGCAACAAAAGAGACGTTTATGCAATTTGAAGCAGAATTGAGAAAGCCAGGCTGGGTCAAAGGCTTTCCGGTGCTGGGAAACATTTTTGTGGAGGGTTGTTTGATCTAGTTAGCCTTTTAAAACCGGCCAGTTCACACCAGTTAGGCCTGATTCAGAGGTTACGACATCCAGAAACTACTTCATATCCTGACCTTGATGAATCAACCTGCCCTGAAGATGGCCACGTGGCTGGCTACCTGGCCTGGTTAAATCTGGAAGAGTCAGAATTGGCTTGTGGGTTTACCTGGCACTCTCATTTCGGTTGTACCAGGAGGGTTATATTCACACCATCATCATAACAAAAAAAAAAAAGCTGAAATCAGATTTTTATTCCAAAAGTACAATTAAGTTATTTACATTGTCCTGCATTTGTACCCAGTGGGTTGATCATTTTCTACACCTAATTGCGTCTGTCTGACTTTATTTTTATTCTGAAACTGCTTCCAGATTTTGGGCTTGCAATGAAAACAACAACAAAACCTAGATTTTTCCTTTTGTTAACTAGACAGGCTTATTGGTATAGAAATGGCTTGTACACAATGTTTTATGTAAAAGCAAAGAGGTTGTGGTCGTAATGTTGTCTTCTACTATGCTAAAGAACCTTGCCTGCCCCCCCCACTCCAGCCCCGTTTCCTTTTCTCACTATATTTCTTTTCCCCTTCCTTCCCCTCTTCTTAGTTTTCTACTACTTTTCATTTTCTTTGTATTTTATATTTTGAAAAACCAATAAAATCATATAGAGACAGATACAGATAGATATAAATAGATGATAGAGATGATGAATGAGATAAGAGGAGGTGGGTAGGTAGATAAATAGACAGAGATGATAGCTATAGAGGTAGGCAGGAAAATGATAGAGAGATACAGACAGACAGAGATCCTAGATGACTGATAGACAGACAGGATAGATGATAGACAGAAAAACAGAGGATATAGCTAGATAGAAAAATGAGAGATAATAGATATAGACATACCGGTAGATCGATAGAAAAATGATAATGATACATAGATGATATAGATAGAGACAGACACAGACAGAGATCATAGATAGAGAGATGATTGATAAGACAGACAGATGATAGATAATAGATATATAGAAAAATGATAAGAGATGGTACGTAGGTAGGAGGTAGGTAGGTAGGTAGATAGATAGATAGAGATAGAGATAGATAGATAGACAGATAGATAGGTAGATAGATAGATAGATAGATATAAATAGATGATAGAGATGATAAATGATAAGAGATGGTACGTAGGTAAGAGGGAGGAAGATAGATAGATAGATAGATAGATAGATAGATAGATAGATAGATAGA